CATCAAGCTGATGAAAGGGCCAGGTTGGCTGGGGGTGTCCCTCCTCTCTTGGACTGCTCTAGCCTCAAGCTTCACACCCTCCTGATGTCCTTTAGAGAGGGTCGGGGAGGGGGGGAAAGGAGCTGCTCCTCATTTGTATGGGAACATTTGTGAGGGAGCGAGGAGAAAGTGCAGAGTTTTCTGCATTCCCAACTGGCTGGGGAGCACAGGGGGTAGATAAACCTGGACCTGCCCCAGCCAGTAGACATGCACTTTCCCCTGGCTGTGCTTGTTAGAGCTGCAATAGCCATGGAAAGTCTCTTTTCACCTCTCCCCAAGTTTCTGTGGTGAAAGAGCACTGGGGTTGTCCTTTCTCCCTGGAGCAGTCTGCACACTGAAGCCCTCTTCCCCAGCCCCACCTTAGAGCAATGATTTAAATGAAACACGTACTTTTAAATTTTATTTTCCCAAAAAACAAAAATTGAGTTAAGGATTTGAGCAATGCTGGGTAAATCTTCTAGCATTCCATATTTGGGAGACAGAAGGAGGAAATTACTTTATTTTGAATACTGAAGTGTATGACAGTAGCACCTGAACTAAAGCTCATTAAAATCATAGAACACTAGAACTGGAAGGAACCTCAAGAGGGCATCAAGTCCAGTCCCATGCCTTCACAGCAGGGCCAAGCTCTGTCTAGATCATCCGTGATAGATGTCTCTCGAACCTGCTCTTAAAAATCTCCAGTGATGGAGATTCTACAGTCTCCCCACACAATTTGTCCCAGTGCTAGACCACCCTGACATTTTTTTCCTAATGCCCAACCTAAACCTCCCTTGCTGCAATGGGCTCTGGACCATGCTCCAAAACAACTTTTGCCATTGTCCTCTCCAAATGATGTTCTCATTCATGTATAGTTCTTGTAATCAAGAGGCTTGACATTTTTTTAAAGCCTAGAACAGACAAGAATAAACCACATTAACAAACTTTTCCCAAAACTCTCCCATATGCTAGGGTGCCCTTTCAAGTAGGCATTCTATCATTAGGGCATTCTTCATCCTTTTAATACTCTAATCTACAGTATTTTTAATATGTGCTTTATTGCACAGTCTGTGTCTGCACTGATCAAAGAAAGCATTATAACCCCTTCCAAGAGCTCTGTTTAAACAAGTTTCTGGCTAATGTGGCTCAAATACTATACTACAGTGTATGGATGCGTGCTTAACAACGTCCATAGTTCTAGAGGAATGTAGAAGAGGCCAGAAGAATGCAAATTTAAGTGGGATGTCACAGTGTATAAAAAATAGCTTCTTCAAGATAAGAGTGAAATAGGAACCCATGACTCCCTGGCATTGCATGAAAGCTTGTTTGACTACTACCTGAGGGTATGTCTACACTACAGCATTAATTTCGAGTTAATTAAGCTGATTCGAATTAACGCATCTACACATAAAACCTATTTCGAAATAGAGGCCCCCTATTTCGAATTAAGTGTCTACATAGCACTTAATTCGACATAGCTATTTCAAATTTGGCGTTACTCCTCATAGAATGAGGTTTACCAAATTCAAATTAAGCACTCCGCTATTTCGAATTAATTTCGAAATAGCGGTTTGCATGTATAGATGCTATTAAAGTTAATTGGAAATAATGGCTGCTATTTCAAATTAACTTTGCAGTGTAGACATACCCTTAGAGACTTTATCCAACTGTAGTTGATCCATGTGAATCCATTTGTTCTGATTAATTTGATGTATTTACATGCCAACAGTGTGTTTGGTGCAATAAAAAAAAAATCAAACAGGCAATCTCAGCTACAAGGAGGTTGCAACTGAAATAAGAGCAATTCTTCCTCTGACAATAACATTTTTTGCTATCTTTGTTCGTGAGGGTTGAGTTAGCATGGTAATCACACCAAAGATACTATTGGTTTGATTTGTTAATTTTGTGTGGACTTTGAAAGGTGCTTATGAGAGGTAGGTTCCCAAAATCTAATTGAAATTCAGTGGAATCAGAGTGCCTAACTCTCTTAGGCAACATTTGCAAATCCCACCTATAACTAAGGGCTTGATCCTGTAAATAATTGCACACATGAGAAATTTGGCTAGAACATCTAAGAGTTTGCATAATGACTACTATTGGCCCTTAAGATTGGACTCAGGACCTCCATGGCCAAAAACATGACCCACAACCACGTCAGCATCCATTAACTGGTAAGTGTAGTAGTATACTTGTAGGCATATCTTGTATGGACCAATCACTGCTGAGGGACATGTATCAAAGAACTGAATCAGGTGCACTCAAGTTTGTCAAAATGCATTCCAGCGTCAGTATTCGTTATTCACTTATATTGATGCGTCTCTTCCTCCTTCCTTTGTCACCATAAGTTTTCGTTCACCATTTTATGGATGTATTATGAGACTGTGTGTGAAGGACATAACGTAACCTGGAGCCGTACTGCAAACACAATCATGAACCGATGATCCACATGAATAGTTCCACTGAAGTCACCGTTGAAGAATCATGTGAGTAACTTTTTCCCTGTGGGTGTAGGAAAGTCACAGGCTGGACCCTGGAGATTAATATTTAAATATCAACTTAATGAAAGAGCTGCCATCACTCTTGTACCTAAATCAGGCAAGTATCCAGCCATAAGTGTGGTATTATTCCTTCCAGAGTAGGGCCCTTGCTTGATTCCTCTTTGAATCTATTCTGTATTCAAAGCAAGTATGCTTTTTTCCTGTCACTATACTGCTATTGTTAACAACTAGAAACGTATTAAAAACACAAGGGCATTTCAGTCTGTGTATTGTGCATGAGAAATATTGTTACATGACAAGCTCCAATTGGCAAGTGAAAAGAGGTTTTATTGAAGGAAATAGCAGAAGCAAACAGTGAACTATGCAGAATAATGGTAATTGTTCCTTTAACATTGGCAGCACACGTTCACTTAATATGACTGCTCCTCTGTCTCAGCCTCATCGAGGCCCAAAGGACCTGTTAGACAAGCAGGCAGCCACCTCTCTCTGGGATCAAGCTGTCAATGCAAACTTGCTTTCTTTCTGTTTCTCTGAGCTAAGCGATACCCCCAGAGCTCCAGAAGCTTTTCCTGAGTGAAAGCTTTAAAAAAGCTCTATTCTAAATTACATCACACGAGCTGTTCTCTTCAGACTGACAGAACAAAAGGGGGGGGGAGAGAGAATGCCAAAAGTGCAGTCTGAATTACTTCTTAGTTACACTGAATGATTTGCCTCCTCGTGGGGTAGCAGCCCAGATTAATGTTGCCTTGACCTTTGCCTAACTAACCCTCCATGAGCTTCCTGCTAATTAGTTTCTGATCAAAGCAAGCTCAATCAGTAAGGGAGGAGGAGTGGAGGAGAGGGGAAGGGAGCAATAAAAATACAGCACAGAGCTATGGTGTTCGGAGCAGTTCCATGCAAAACCAGAACATTCTGAGCCCAATTCAAATGAGTGCTATGTGGATTTGTGTAGTGAGTGCCAGACGTGTGCCTAATGCTTTAAAAGTGGGTTGTTAGACGATGTGGTCCTGGCTGTACGCAGCTCAGTATTACAACATCCCAGAACGTGCTGGGTGCACAATCTTAGAGGCTCACCATCTAATTCAGATACACAGAGAAGGTCCAGTCAAAGGTGAATCAGGCCAGGGATCTTAAAGGCCTCACTAGCCAGCTTTGTTCGAGGCATCTCATGCCAAAGGCTGTTAGAGAAGTAGAGACGGGTCTGACATTTTCCAATCCTGCTGTTGCTAACTGGAGAGAGGATAAGCAGACAGACATCCCACTCCTTCCAGGGGCAATAAAGGATTGAAGGCGTAGAGAGACTCCTGAGGTGGCCAGATATTGGGAGAGTTGTTTTGCCATCTTTTCCACTCCAGCAGATAGGCTGCGTCTAGATTGGCATGATTTTCCGGAAATGCTTTTAACGGAAAAGTTTTCCATTAAAAGCATTTGCGGAAAAGAGCGTCTAGATTGGCACTGATGCTTTTCCGCAAAAGCACTTTTTTTCCCACGCTTTTTGTGGAAAAGCGTCGTGCCAATCTAGACGCGCTTTTCCGCAAAAAAGCCCGATTGCCATTTTCGCGATCAGGGCTTTTTTGCGGAAAACAAATCTGAGCTGTCTACACTGGCCCTTTTGCGCAAAAGCTTTGCACAAAAAGGACTTTTGCCTGAACGGGAGCAGAATAGTATTTACACAAGAAGCACTGATTTCTTATAGTAGGAAGTCAGTGCTTTTGCGGAAATTCAAGCAGCCAGTGTAGACAACTGGCAAGTTTTTCCGGAAAAGCAGCTGATTTTCTGGAAAAACTGGCCAGTCTAGACACAGCCATAGATAAAGGCAGGGCAGAGACAAGATCTTTTGGGATAGGAGGTGGATAAATATTGGTTCAAGCAAAAACCCAGCAAAATTCATTAGGCGGCCAGCATTACTACCCTGGAAATTTCAGCTTTGCACCAACCTAAAGTAAACCACTGTGTTTGGGCAACTGAAATTCTGCAAACTCAAGCAAGCTAGCTTCATGAAGCAATGTACTGCGCCCCTCGGAGCTCTTTATCAAGATATATCAAAAGCAAAATGCCCAACTAAGGTAAAGTTGGACCTATTTCTAATGAAAGATATTACCATATCCACCTTGTCTCTCTCCTATCTTGGGACCAACACAGCTGGACCAATACGGCAAACTGACATAAATACACTCTAAGGTTGCCTGCCTACATTCCTCTCTTAGCTCTGCACTGGATACTTTATTTTATACACCGTACGCTGTTGCTGCTTCTAATAAATATGCACACACCTTTTAGAGAGGGGCTGAAACCTGAATCAGATGACAGATCAATAAATAAAGCCAGACGATATGGAGACCCAGTTTCCTGCACAGTAGCAAATTATATATAATTAAACCTTTTCTTCTTCATGGCAGGTGCTGCATGAATGGTTGTAATTATCATAACATTATTTAATATTCTCCCCAGAAAGGGGTAGCTCAGACAGGTGTGGAAGCTTACCTGAGTCTCCAAGAGGCTGTAAGATAGGACCGGCCAATTCTGAAAAACAAAAATTCAATGGAAAGCATTGAGAGGCTGGGTTTTGTATCAACATTAGTGCAGCCTGGATATCAGTATTCTGAGAAAGCAACCTATGCACCCTACAGCGCTACTATTTTAAATGAAAAGACAGCGTCCGCTCTTGTACCACTGACCTTAGGCATCCCCATTGGTCAGAATGTACTGAGTTGCATTTTGTAGGCGATATTTACAAGTAACTTTCACCCTGAATGCCCCCAAAGCACTTTAACTACAGAGGGATCATTTCATCACCAGTGGAAACAAAGAGCTTTGCAGATGTGTCTAATCCCCACACTACAACACTTCACAAAAATTTAGGGCCAGTTATCAAGAGGAGTATCTTTATCAGCTGCACCTTTCGAGATGGAGTATAACTAGGCAGAATGAAATTATATTTACCCAGGACTCCTGCTCTAATACTCTGTGTGCACACTGCGATCGTAGCGACCTGGGGTGAGGAGCCACTGTGTGCAGAAGGTAAGAAATGACCATGAAAATGTGGCTTCCCTTTTCCTAAGTTACTTGAAGATAGTGCGGGTTGAACCTTTCGCCTAAGTAACTTGAAGATAGTGCGGGTTGAACCTTTCTAGTCCAGCACCCTCGGAACCCAAATGGTTCCAAATGAGAGAATTTTCTCGACTACGGAAGGTCAATTTTGTATTGAAGTATTTCCAACACTCCCATTGATTACTGGGCTCCTAGAGGACAGCTAGGGGCAAATCAGAGCTAAATAACAGCACAGAGCACTGAGAGCCAGGACTGGTGGCTGTAAACAAACTTTATGGGACCACAGGAAATTTGGCTACACCCATGAAAAGTGGGCATCTGCCTAACCAAAATCATGCCAGACCACGGATGTTTCCAGAACAGAGAGGTTCAACCTGTACAAAGTGCTTCTAGTAAAGGAAGACAAAGCAAAGTTCATTTCCAACTGAATATTGTGATTCCTGTCTATAAAATGATGTTTTGAATATGCTATACAAATACATTTGTTACTACTTTGTAAAGTCTTAGTCTTGGTTGACTTGTTCTGTTCTAGAAAGTTTAGTCTGTGGTGAACTACACTGCACATAATTAAATCTCTGTCACTATTCTGGTTACAGCCACTACTTAGCTAGGACAAACTTGACAGATTTGCAAATGTCTTTCCAGTCTGCAAGTTTCCTGTGTTTTTTCCCTCAGTCTCATTTCTACACTTGCCAGTACTCCCCTCTTGCTTCAGAGCATTAGTAATGCCAATAAAACTCAATGTGCCCAGTAAATTAGCTAAGTTGTTTCCATTTTAACCAGAGAAAGTCTATTTAATTTAGTATATTTGGCACAAGGGAGCTGTATTTGTATCTGGGTTGGACTACGATAAGCCAATTGTCTGTCAGAGGCATAGTGCATTATGTCTAATTTTGTTTTTCGCAGTAGATTTACTGGAATCTCCTGTTTGGAAAGTTGGTATATGAGCTTTGGTAATCTAATTTTGGTCTGGTGGGTGGCGATGGAAATATGAACTATAGGAAACAAAATGTTATTGCCATATGTGCTGGATTGTGGTTTGGTAGCAGGAGTTGCCTGTAATAGAGTGCTCATCAAAGCATTTCTCAGGGGATGAGATATATATATACACACACACAATTTCAAAAAGTAAAGAAAGGTACAGCATTTATTGTGGCACATGTTTACAGCATGTTTCTGATTATCTTCTTGGCTGTGGAGTTGGGATTCCTAATTGTAAGGTTAAGGAATCCTTTTTATCTATCTCTTGCCTCCGAACCCAATGCTAGACAGTATTGTTTTCTGTACCTTTTGTCTTCTGCCGAAAAAGACAATCTCTGGCTCATGTGAACATCTTGTTAAAGTCTGCTGAGGGTTAGGGAGTGTGACTGGGTGGGTTGTTTTTTTTTAGCCTTTTTATTGGGGATTTTTATGCCTGATTTTCTGGGAGGTCTTTGAAATGTCTTTTTATGTGGCAATCATTTCCCTGTTTCTTTGTTGTCCCAAAATGTTAAGATTGTACTTTTCTCATCTGTTCCTGTTTATATTTTGGTTCTGGTTGGTGGTAACACTTTGGCTTGCAACACTGTGCTCTTCTATCATTCTACACCGTTCTGAATCCCAAAAATATTCCTAGCTGCCTTCATACTATAGCAGAGCTGAGTTTTGTTTAGAGCAGATTGAGTTTTAAAATCCCTGTTGTCACTTTGAGAATGGATTGAGTGAAGTGTCTGAAATGTTATGAAAGGATTCCCACAAAAGACTACTGAAGAGAAGAAATACAAAGAAACCCGACAGATTTTCAAAAGCGATCCGAGTCTGATTTTTCAGGTAGGCCGGGTTTGTAAAAGTGCTCCACGTCTAATGGCTCGCATTGTGTGATGCTTATTACTGAATTATCAAAAGTCCCCAGCAAAAGGGTTGGCTGAAAAATTTCTAATTTGACATTTTTCTATGAAAACTAGAAACACGTTTTCACACACAATTGCATGAAAAATTGAGCCAGTTTTCTGACAAGCAATAGATCTGGCCAAAAAAAAAAAAAAAAAAACCCCTAAAATTTCAATAAAACACATTTTTTTAATTCAATCTACTCAGCAGTCACCACATTTTTTTTTGAAAATTGGCCATTTCATTTGTTCTGAAATGACAGCCGAGTGCTTCTGAAAAATACGTATTTCAATGTGGGAGCTGATGTTTGGAAAATCTCACTGGTGAGCATGCACTCCAGCCAGTAGCCCCAGATTACTGATTATATCTACAACCCCACCAGCTATGGGGGATCCATCTAGACTTTGCAGTCCACACATGCAGATTCAGGATCAAAGATTACGTGCTCACTAACATGAGATTCACACTCTAATAGAGAACTTTCTGGGTGTCCGGCTGGTGAGTCTTGCTCACATGCTCAGGGCTTAGCTGATCGCCATATTTGGGGTCGGGAAGGAATTTTCCTCCAGGGTAGACTGGCAGAGGCCCAGGAGGTTTTTCGCCTTCCTCTGTAGCATGGGGTACAGATCACAGCTGGAGGATTCTCTGCATCTTGGGGTCTTCAAAGTATTTGAAGGCTTCAATATCTGAGTTATAGGTGAGAGGATTATTCTAGGAGGGGTGGGTTAGATTCTGTAGCCTGCACTGTGCAGGGGGTCAGACTAGATGATCATAATGGTCCCTTCTGACCTTAATGTCTATGAGTCTATGAGATAATGAAAACTTATACAATGCTTCTCTGGTTTTCATAACGGGAAAATGACTTTTGCCTGGCAAAAGAATGGGGTAAAATCCTCTCTCAATTTAAATCAATGGCAAAACTCCTACTGATTTCATTGGAGTCAAGATTTCAAATCAGATTTTTTTCTGTATAACTGAATTACAAAACTCCCATGGACTTCCACAGAAGCAGGATAATATCCTTATTAACTCTAGTAATTCCCTGTTCACATGGTTCTGTTTTTGTCTCCTCAACAAGCAACTTAGCCCACGCTGCACACCATTCCCCCATCGGGTTTCATTTTCAGCTTCCCCAATTTTTCCAAGGTACGGTGCCTTAAATAATCTTGCTTCATTTTCCCCACTGCCCTTAAAGCACTCTGTTCCACATCTGATTTCATCTTCATTTATATGGCCAATTGTGTGTGATTTGTTAGTATGTTTTGTATGCAGTATAATGCATACTGATATTGCACTGATGTTTATAAAAATCAAATTTCATGCTGTACTTATGTCTTTTCTGATCATATGATACACTCAAACATGGCACTATAGCAGATTAATGTAGTCCATTTTAAAAGTAGGCTTTATGTTTGTATTTTTTCTTACTACCTTCATTACATCCACAGGTTAGTTACTTGAATTATAGAAATGGAAATCTTTTGGGGCCATCAAAAGGGCATTATTTGCTACTGAAATATCAATTAAGATAACATGCAAACTAATATAGTAATCAAATAAACCTGATGGATAACATAAACTTTTTTTAAAACTGCAGAGGCATTCTAACAAATCTATTTGATCAATATATGGGATGCAAAAAAAGGAAGACAAGATTGACTGATGAATAAAATGAAACTGACACAAATAGGCTGACAGCCAGTTGCAAGTCTCTTTAGGGCAAATGCAATTAACTCAGAATAATAGACTCAAATTTGATGGTTAGAAATGCATTTTTATTAACAATCACAGCCGGAATCATTATGCATTCCTCTGAATAAAATTGTACTTATATCGAGCATGTGTATGCATATATGTACGTATGGATATGTACAAAAATAGATTGCACGGGGTGAGAGCATTGTTTTTGAGTGTCAGAAAGAATAACAAGATCTGATTTAAAATAAAAAAGCAGACCCAACTGTAAATCTAAATATTTTAAACCATGACCTAAGAACCATTAGACTACTATTAAACATAAAGGCAATAAACATTGGTCTCAGGATTGTTGGTCCTTTTGGGATGTGAAATTGCAATCAGGGATTTACAGATTTCTTTTTGAAGAAGTCATTACCAGAAATATAAACTCATTCTCGTTACTTTAATAGCTATTTTCAATCATTCATTTAGAAAATACATTTACAACTTCTTGTATTGGCAATATGTTTCTTTGACATTTAGTCTCCATGCTTTCTATAATTTGTTTAATAAATGATTTTATTAAAAGACTATTAGAATTAGCAGAATGATCCTACCAATTTCTGTAAATGCTTCTCTTGAAAAGGGTATTTTCTTGATTGTTAACAGGTATGGAATATTAACATTTATAAGGGGTGGGGAGATACTCAATTGTTAATGTGTCCTTTTTCTTTTGCCCTTCTTGGCAGAGGTTGATTGCTATTTGTAAATTACTTTAAATATTATTAATCTAATTTCATTTCTGAATAAATATCATCTCTATTTTTGCATGGATTCCACTGGACACAGATATAAAAAGAGATTCCTTCAAAATATGCATGTAATGGCAAAGTATCTTATTTGTAATAAATGGATACAATATACAG